CCGAAATAAAACAGCGGCACGCGCCGATCTCGCCGTCCACCCGGCGAACGGCGTTGCGCCGCGGCGCTCAGCTTCATGAGCGACACGGGAACACCGTCCGTCGCCCGAAAACTCACGGTTTTCCATCATTTTTACCGATTTTATTAGACGCGTGTTAGTGAAAACTTTCGACAGTTCCGACGAGAAAAAGAAATTTCGCTCCCGACGCCCGACTCCCGACTCCGACTCCGACATTTATAATAATATAAGGAAATTAGGTCCGCGCGCTTTATACACGCACACTGTATCCGTCGCGAGCGGTGGGGCGGGCTGCCACTCTCGACCAATCAGGGACTAGACAGACAATGATTGGTCGCTATCAGAAGATTACTTTGTTATATTTTATTAATCAGTTTATAATGAAAATAGTGTATGAGAAATATGAATTTCAAATTTTCGTGGGAAACAAACCAAATTTTAATTAAAAAAAAACTGTATGCTTAGTATGTGACACTATTACGTATATAAAAGGCAACCTTGCAGTAAAATAAATAAAATTCTATTTAGCACGTTCAATATAAACTTTTAAATGCACTAAGCGATGTTATTAAAGTCTACGTGGGTTATCTCAGATGTAACTTATCACTCACACCTTAGTCATTGACAGGAACCTGGACTCCAAGTCATCAGGATAGCTTAGTCCATTTCCCCGAAGACACGGCTTCGACCTGAAATAACAGATTAAAAAAGCATCAATAAAAAAATATACTGGAACATAATTATTGTTTAATATGCTACAACTCCAACAACTTCTGACTTGTATGATGTAGGTACATAGTTACTATGTATGCCATGGTACATAAAGCGCGCGCTTTCGCTACGAACGCTCATTGATACGTCAGTGGCGCGAGAGAAAACATCTAAAATCTAAAGTTTTCATGCTTAGGATATTTTTTTGTCAGTGCCTATTTATATATAGTTTTTTAATACTTATATTAAAGTGAAATCATTCCCCTAAAACAATAAATAGTAAAGTGAAAATTGTCGCTAAATTAGTTCAAAATCGCGTCCGGTGATATTATTGTAATCTAACTTGTAGGTAAATGATGGAAAACCGTGAGTTTTCGGGCGACGGACGGTGTTCCCGTGTCGCTCATGAAGCTGAGCGCCGCGGCGCAACGCCGTTCGCCGGGTGGACGTCGAGATCGGCGCGTGCCGCTGTTTTATTTCGGTAATTATTACATATTAAATCATAAATCTAGTGTGTACGTGATTGGGCTCGCTGCCATTGCAGCGGTGAGTTCCCTCTTTGAGAAGTGGCTTGAGAGACGTTATGGCGTCCTCACCTACCGCCTGCCGCAGGTGCTCACCGGGCATGTGAGCTTCGGTCTGATAGGGCGGGAGGAAACGCCTGGGTGTCGTCACTGCGATGACCGCCCTGAGGACACGGTGGAACACAGTGACACGGTGTGTCATGCCTTGCATGGGCTGAACACCGCCGTGCCCTCAGTGATGTGATCGGCGACGGCGACCTCTCGCGTCCGGCCCTAATCCAGGCCATGATGCGGACGGAGGAAGACTAGGATGCCGTCTCCGAAGCAGTCATGCTAGTTAAGGAGGAGGCGGGGCACGTGAGGCAGCAGCCCAGCCGTCGCAAAGGACACCGGGCGTCGGGGATCGGGTGACTATCTCCGGCCGTACCAGACCCGAGCGAACAGCGCGTCACGTTCCGGCCCAATAGGGCTGATGCCGATACAGAGCCGCGGAGGACGTAAATGGTTACCGGGGCTCGGGCTCGAAGTGCAGCTGTTGGAACAGGGAAGTTTTAGTCGGTAAGAGTCTGACACTCCCACCCGCCTCATCTAGGCCGGAGAAATCATTCGAGGATTATCCCCCCTTTAAAAAAAGGTCATAACTGTTCCAAATTTCATATCGATCTCTTAAGCCGGTTGTGATTAAGTAGCAGAAGTATACACAAACTCACATTAATAATATAAGTGATATTAATAAAACACTTTATGTTAATTTTAAAATAATATACATTCAGATGTGTAATCGACAAGACAGTTTAGCTACTCACCACGAGATGACGCGACCTATAGATGATCAAGAAGAAATACGAAGATTTGTAAAGATATTTTATTTATTTCCAGCTATGATCGTCCCAGTGCAGGGCAAAGGCCTCCTTAGCCGCTTCCTTATACATATAGGTATGTGAATTAAATAATATTTTTTGAACAACGTAAAGTTGTATATAGAATATTTAATTATTTTCTATTATTTTGTTACATTATGGATCAAGTATCCATGTTTTTTTACAAGTTCAATGTAGAATTTTAGTTTCTAAGCTTACTCAGATATTACACAGAAAATTAAAATATCGTTAAAATTGTACGTTTGTACTCGCCAATCTGCCTTGAGCAACTTTAATGCTTAATACTCATTCCTTCTCTATGTGAGAAGAGGCTTTTGCCTTCTATACTAACACTAGCTACTTCCACGCGGTTTCACACGCTCTGCTCAGCTTCTATTGGTCGTAGCGTGATGTTTTATAGGCTATAGCCATCCTAAATAAATGCGCTATCCAACACAAAAAGAATTATTCAAATCAGACTTGTAGTCACGGAGATTAGCGCGTTCAAACAAAAAAAAAACAAACTCTTCCGCTTTATATAATAGTATAAGATTAAAATTTATCATTTTTATACTAACATAGGTCAATATGCTCCTGTGGTTAGAGATATTAAACTCCGATAGGATAAAACAGGAATTATATTGTACGCGAAGTCGCGGGCAACAGCTAGTTGGACAGTAAAACATCACGCTACGATAAAAGGCGGGTCAAACCGCACGGAAATAGATAGTAGATAAATAAATAAACCTTTATTCTATTACTTACAGATCAATATAACATCCGTTGGCAAGCAAGGGTGCAGTCAATGATGGAGCATGGCCACACGCGCCGAAGGGGTCCCGGCAACATGCCTGAGCAAGCCTTGGACAGGAATCCCCAAAGAAAGAGAAAGCGTGGCCGTCCTCGGCAAACCTGGCGGTACCGCCGTCCGTGAGTCACTGCAGGGTGCCACCTGAAAACCAGCGTTGGGCAGCAAGTGCAGCAACGCTTAATTATATGCTGAGGTGGAAGCCCTTTTGGTCTGGGCACGAGCACTTTATTATTATATCTCGTTCTTCCTTACTAATATATAAAACCGATTGCTTTGAATTTTTGCAGACGTAAAGTTGGAAGTCCGGATTAAATAATAGGGTACATTTTATCCCGGAAAGATTTAATATTCCCGAGGGAAAACGAAATTATTGGTATAAGTTCTAACTTTACGTCTGCAAAAATCAAAGCAATCGGTTTAGTAGTTACGGCGTGAAAGTGGAACAAACAAACAAACAAACTCACTTTCCGATTTATAATATTAGTAAGGATAAGGATTATCTCTGCACTAATAATATTAAATTTTTTTTTATTTTCCTTCATACATAATGATGCAGACTTTAATATTAGTCTTATAATATTGACATAAGCTTGTGAGAGACTTTGGTTCTACATAGGCATAGTGCAACTGACAATGCAATGATGGAAGTCAGAAACTCAAACTAGGATAACCTATGCTATGGGCTCGGGAAGTAATTAAAATTATAAATGAATCGAAAAATTTATTAAAGTTCTATGATTATCATCACTGTGTGTGTGCTAGTATGTGAACAACTGAGGAGTGTTAAGACAATGTAGTAATAACTTGTTCTATTTGACTGTAGTCAAGATCTAAAAGGCATTGAGTTACTTTCTTTTTACATTTCAATTTAGAGACTTTACAAATTGTAATTTTTTATCAACTATGTTATGTAGATTATTATCTACTAGCGACCCGCCCCGGCTTCGCACGGGTGCAATATGCATGATATAAACCTTCTTTAAGAATCACTCGATCTATTAAAAAAAACCGCATCAAAATCCGTTGCGTAGTTTTAAAGATCTAAGCATACATACGGACATACAGCGAAAGCGACTTTGTTTTATACTATGTATTGATAAGTTAAAAAACTTTTGGCCAAAAAATGTGGTAACTGGTACAAGATCACACAGTATTTAACTCTGCACTACTTAAAGGTTGACTGGGAGACATTGCCCAAGGCATTAGGTCCACCTGTACACATTTGTTGTATGAAGTTGAAAATAAATAAATGAATGAATGTCTCCTCGGCTTCCAGATCAGCTGGTTGGAAACAAGTTGGATCCAGTAGCTGGCTTTGAACAGGGGAAGTCCATCAAGTGCCAGTCCTGGTTGAGGCGTGAAGGAACGTAAGACTTCTAACTCCAACTATCTGCTCAGGCTATACGGTTGCCGCAGTGGTTAGGTGACTGGCTGCTGAGCAACATGTCGCGGGTTCGATTCCCATTAAGTAGTTTCTGAGTTAAATTAACTATTATTAGCCTGGAAGTTTGAGTGTTTCACCCCTTTGATTGGCCCACGTTCCTATACTCCGTTCTATTTTAAAATTTCGCACCTATGAGAGCAGAGATTCAGGGGTCAAGGAACAGGAAGCAACGCTTCCGTTGTGTTTAGTCGTGTGAGTGAGGTTACCGGAGTTCCAATTATCCTCCCCTTCCCCAATCTCCCCAATTCCTGAATCCCCAACGATCCTCAAACTCCTAATCCCCAAAAGGCCGGTAACGCACTTGTAACGCCTCTGGTGTACCAGGTGTCCATGGGCGACGCCGATTGCTTACCATCAGGTGATCCGTCTGCTCGTTTACCGGCTTAGACCATAAAAAGATACCGGGGATCTCGTCAATGAAACGTTTTTTGACCCTAGTAAAAAAAAAGTGGTCGAGTATGAGCCGAAGATTCTTACTTGTGTGTGTTCTATGTTGTCTAGTTGCCGCAGTGAGTCTACAAGTCTATGGAAGTTCTTCATCACGATCTGTGTTGAACTGTAAGCTTGGTCACCTCGCCGCTCCTGCCAACAAGACAAGCGCCGTCGGCTATGAAGCAGACAGCCACCGCTACTGAAACATGGTAATGGAATATATTACATACTAGATTCTGCCCATGACTTCGCCCGCGTCCCCGTGGGATAAAAAGTAGCCTGTTATGATAGAATCTATTTCTAAATATCTCAATCCCTTATGCCGTTTTGACGTGATTGAGAAGAAACACAAACTTTCGGATTTATAATGTTAGTAAGTAATAGTTTTTTTCGTTTCTTTATCTGATATCAGTCTTAACGTACACAGTTGATCATTATGGGTTAATAAAAACTTAATATGGTCAGTAACAGTCTGGAATTAAAGCCAGAATATACCAATACACTCATCCTTTATTATATGAGAATTATAACATAACTTACTATTAAATTATGAATACATCCTTTATTTTTCTTCCCCACAGGTTTAAAAGCCAAACACTTTGGAAAAAGTTTAGGTTAACTTTCGTCCACTAGATGGCAGTGTAATACAAAAATTTGATATACAATATAGAAAAATATACGCTACAATTAGTTACCTTTAAATTGTGCCATGGATATTTCAAAACAATTACATCAATATGAATAGTGTGATGGCAATTAAAACTTACACAATAAGACAAAAATTTTATTATAAAAGTTTTTAAGATGTAAGTCAACTACTCGCCCATAGGTGGCGGTACTGTTGAAGACGCTAAGAGGCAAGTTTATTTTGGAACAATGTAGAGAAGTACCTGTATTGATATAAATTAAGATATATTTTACATTAAACATTAACTTACAAATCAGGACAATTACTTATTGAGCGCTTCTCACATCTCCAAGCCACTAAGTAACAAAGCGTTTTTTTTAAGGGGGGAAAATCAGCGAATGACTTCTCCCGCCTGGGTGAGGTGAAGGTGAAAGTTACTGTCAGACTCGTACTGACTAAAAGATGGTGGACACCGTAGTGGTCTGATGGCTCGCTGAGACGTCGTACGGTCGGGTCCGATTCTGGTCAGTCTGCGAGCTATCTGCAGTCCATGCTCGCCGTCTGCAGGCCCGTGCTTACGGTGCGTGGTTGGAGATTGTCTCGCGATCCCCAACGCCCAGTGTCCTTCGCAATTAAAAAAGTATACTTTTAATTTCGTATTCAAGAAAAAGACAATCCAACAATGGTCGTAGGTATATCGGCTGATGATGATCAAATTCATAAATAAATAAAAATAACACCAACATTATAGTATAGAAATTAGAAACCTTTTTTTGAAGTCGGTTAACAAAACTGGTAGGTAGAGTCGAACAAGTACATTCAGAAAATTGTAAAAGGTTGATTCTACTTAGTATGTGTTTAGGAATAATACACATTAACTCGTCGAGTACCGACGACGGTTTTGTAGACACAATTATAGAACAATAGGTTGCGGTCACCGGTGACCGCTTGGTGTTTGACAGTTTAAGGACAATCACCGACTGTCAGTCGCTGTGAGATTCTGTTCAAATATCGTACTTAATCGTACGCTAAATTAGTTCATACAAAAGTAGTCTCTAAACATCGGACATAAGGTCTTTTTTGCCGGGGGGAAAATCATTAAATGACTTCTCCCGCCTGGGTGAGGCGAGAGGGGGTGTCACTCTTACTGACTAAAAACCACCTCGTTCCTACTCCTGCACTTCGGGCCGGAGCCACTGCAATCCGTTAAGTTCTCCGCGGCTCCGTATCGGCATCAGCCCTATTGGGCCCCATCCGTGGTGGTGTAACTCTAATGGCTCTTTGAGGCGCGCGCGGAATGAGACTCGCCGCACTCTCAGGTGGAAATAAGGTGAAAAGTGGTCACCGGTGACCGCTTGGGTATTAAAACAAAATAGGTACATAGTCGGTAAATGACAATCTGCTATGTTAGCACGCGTCTGCTGAACAAAGCCAAAGTAAAAGTAATTAGTTAGGATAGGATATACCTATCTATGTTTTTGCGATTTTCGAATTCTTAATTGTGTGCAGTTGTATGATAAAAGGTATTATCACTACATGAGACTCCTAGCATAGTTAAAAGGAACATTAATTTTACCTACTTTTGCCTTTACGTGCAACAAAAGCTTTACGCAATGTCGTCGAAAACGGTCACGTACCTACTTGTTCCGATTTAAAAAAAAATATTGATTACTAATCGACAATCCAGGTAAGATTATTACTCATACTGTTATACATACATAGGTAGGTACTTACCAAAATTAGGCTTCGAACTTTGATGGACTTTACCATCGCCGCCGGCCGACGTGTGCTTTGCTCTTGCGCGTTGTTGAGTGTTGACAGAGGATATTCTGTTCACCACACACGAACCAAAATAGCGCTAAATAACACAAAGTTTTAATTTTAATATAATAACACTGTATAAACTACAATACAAAATAAAAAGTTAAAATAAAATTCATTTAAATTCGTCTTATTTTCAAACTCACGAAACGGTATCACACGATTTTATACTTACGGAACACGAAACAAAAAGATACTTATTCTTTACTAAATTGCAAAAATAAAACAATAAATTAATTAGTGATTTCATTTACAATGCAATTTATGTACGCGAGAAGAGATCGTTATGTAAAACCTGACAATTTGAATTCGGGTAGCGTGGAGTAACATTACATATTGACAACCGCTCCTAACGCCGGCGAGCGGGCGACTAAGGTGCGGCGCCTGCGGCGGCGGAAGGCAGGGAAGGCACCCCGTCGCACACACGCATGCATTGCATACACATTCCCTAGAGCTAGGGCGACGCCCACAAGCGGACTTGAGCTGAAATTACTACAAAAATTAAGTCTAAATTAAATACAGAAACAAATAAAAAATAACTAAATGTTTTTTTAAAGATTACTTAGACTCTTCGGCGGCCAACCGTCCCGTATTCTGCGGGACCGTCCCGTAATGATAGATGCAATCCCGCTTTGAAATAATTAATAAAATAGTCCCGTAAAACGTTAGATGCGTCCCGCAAGTCCCGCATACCTATTTCTCTACTACACGACACAACCACACGCGCACTAACAGCGCGAATAAATGTAGATAACTTGTTTGACGAAGTAAGTTATGTGTGTGAACGTGAACAATGATGTCCTAAATGGCTAGAAGGAGAAAAAGTTCAGCACAGAACAACATTTTTTTGTAGGAGGAATATCATTCAGTGACTTCTTCCGCCTTGGATTAGGCGAGAGGCAGTAACAGACTCTTACTGACTAAAAACCACCCCGTTCCTACTCCTGCTTAGGCCTTCCGCGGCTCCGTATAGGGCAACAGTCAACAACACAAAAAGTCCCGCATTGGACTTTCAGAAAGTTGGTCGCCTTATTGTAACTACATTTGTTCCGAAAACAATTCAGTACCTACTAAGTATATTTATATGTGTCGCGGAGAACCTAACGGGTAACGAGGCTCCGGCTCGACGTGCAGGAGAAGGAACGGGGTGGTTTTTAGTCAGTAAGAGTCTGACACTCCCTCCCGCCTCACCCAGGCGGGAGCAGTCATTCGATGATTTTCCTCCCTTAAAAAAAAAGTATATTTATATGTGGTGGCACCACAGAAATATAAAAAGTTATTATATCTATGATAGCCACCGTAAGTGCGGGCCTGCGGACGGCGAGAATGGGTGGCTCGCCGCTCGACCAGAGTGTTAAGCACGAATAACTATCGCATTCGTAAAGTCCTTTTCTTTATACTATGGTAAAGTTATAGTATCGAGCACGTTCGTCGGCTCTGATTGGTTAGTTCACTGGAGCCAGCCAATCAACGTTACGAATGCGATAGTCATTCGTGCTTGGCACTCTGAGGCCTTAGTACGAGTTTGTTTTACGTTTAAAGTATTCGTAACGAGTACGCGTTTGGCGCTCTGATTGGTTGGTTCATTGGTGCCGGCCAGTCAGAGTGCCGAACGCGTACTCGTTACGAATACTTTAAACGTAAATGAAACTCGTACTAAGGCCTCTGAACCAGATCCGAACGTACGAGCCGCGGAGAACCTAAAGGGTTGCCGGGGCTCCGGCTCGAAGTATAGGAGTAGGAACGGGGTGGTTCTCAGTCAGTAAGAGTCTGACACTCCCTCCCGCCTCACCCAGGCGGGAGAAGTCATTCGATGATTTGAGCCACCGCCATCTTGTGAAAACCGTAATAATTATAATGAGTATAAAAAATAAAAAAATGTAACCCAATTGTTTTGTTTTTTTCAGACTAAGAAAGAATTTAAAACTAAGTACCGCAAAGTTAAGTTCGACGGTTCATCAATCTGCCGTCACCACTCGACACTATCCCACCCACCTGTCGCGGAGAACCTAATGGGTAACCGGGGCTCCGGCTCGGCGTGCAGGATAAGGAACGGGGTGGTTTTTAGTCAGTAAGAGTCTGACACTCCCTCCCGCCTCACCCAGGCGGGAGAAATCATTCGATGATTTTCCCCCCTTAAAAAAAAAAAATCCCACCCACCTGGCAGAATAGTCGACATTCGACAACACCGTATTGTAGTCTCTGCTGCCAAAGAAGAAAAAATAAAAATTGAAAATAGAACATGTATGATTTATGCAAACATTTTGTTATTATTTTATAGGTACTCATTACAATAGGGATGTTGACAGTGTACAAAAATTAAAAATGTAATACGCCCGTTAGTTAGGTAATGAAAAAACATGCGACACATTTTTATTATATTTTGTGGTATAAAAAAGAAATACTTAGATAAAACGAATCAAAGTTTAGGAGTGGCGTCATATTTCAAATCAATATAACGTCGAAAGTATTCGTTTCTGTAAGAAAATAAAAAATACGTGTGAAGTATTGGGCTTTTTATTGCAGCCTCTACGTCAGGGTGTGAGATTGAAATAAGGTTCGAATGCGCGAAAACTATAGTGAAAAGCGTTTATTAACTGAACAAGTGTCCTTAAAACTACACAAACAGGGGTTAACTTAAAATAAGTTAATAATTATTGTAACCGGTTGCTTAGCGGAATAGCGGCTACGCGCTCTCGCGGCTAGTTGTCCGCTGTCGTTGGCGGGGTTCGCTTTCACTCCGTTAAGGGTGCGTCCGAGCAAAGACAATAAAGGACCCTTGCGCCACATCTGGGCCGCAGCTGGGCGGTGGTATCTCTCGCCGCCGTATCTTCGCCATCGACCCTCACGACAGCATATGCATCCGCATGGTGGGGCCATATAGATGGTTGGTAGGCCACAACTGTACGCTTCTCACGTAGCTTTCTGCCTCGCACAGCAAAACCGTGAAATGATCTATCGTCGAATAATTTCCAAACCGATACGACCTTCAAACGTTCAAGAAAAGAGCGTATTTCATTTTAAAAGGCCGGCTACACACGACAGAGTTCTGTTAGATTGCATTACTACAATACAACATAAAACAGTAGGTATATACTTACCAAGAAAAGTGTTAAGTGTTCTCTAAACACTAGGTAAGGTATAGAAGAAGAAGAAGAAGTGGAAGAAAGAGGTAGCAGTGCACTGTAGTAGGTACATTTCGGAGTTGGTCCGGTCCAAACTGAGATTACAGATATTAATTTTTTTATATATTTGATGGGGCGACGTTTGACCACTATCTCGCATGGTGTTACCCTTACCACCATGCGAGATGCGACCAAGCGGTCTACAATGGAGCACGTCGTCCCATAAGTAACCTATTCACTCGGGTTTTGAAGACTCCCAGGTTATACCTTTCAGGAAATACAGACTCTGGCAAAGAACATGAACAGATGCAAAGGAAAATAGGTTCTCATCCTAAATGAACCACCAGTCACACCAACACAAAACGCTACAAATTACAATGGGGTACTTGCCAACTAGTCGAATTCAAATCAATACGTTTTTCGAACTGTCAAAAACGACAGTTTTCTATGAATTTTGTACGAGAATGTGTATTGTGACGTCACGTTTTTTAGCGTCAAACAGCATACTTATTACTTAAGAAATTGCTGGAAAAGTACTAAAATTAAGTTGGCCATAAAATGAATGAATGAAAGTGATTATTTTTTTTAATATTTATTGTATTGAACAGTCGAAATAATTTATTTTTGATGAAGCCTGAAGGCAAGTACCCAATTAGGTATATACCGAAAAACAAGATATAGATAATTTGAACATTTCTTACAATAATATCGAATTTGTTATTGGATGCAATAAGAGTTCACTGTTTGTGCACACACGCAGCACGAAATCACGTTACCAACCGGTCTAGGCATTTTTTTTAAGGTTTGAAAATCATCGAATGACTGCTCCCGCCCTGTGTGTCGAGACTCTTACTGACTAAGGGTCCAGTTCCATTGAGACAGAGCGGAGAAGAGCTGTGCCGCGATTCACCAATCAACTACAACCAATTTAGCGGAGTGGAGAAGAGATGTGGATTTCAAGCCATGTGATTGGTGAATCGCGGCACAGCTCTTCTCCGCTCTGCTCCGCTCCGTGCACCCTAAAAACCACCCCGTTCCTACTCCTGCGCTTCGAGCCGGAGCCCCGGTAACAGGTAACCCGTTAGTTAGGTTCTCCGCGACAGGCATAGATTATGCGTGACTAGGCGTGGGCGAGCGGGCGACCCCGCGACCCGCGACTAACTGAGCCGCTGTGGAGTGTGGTGAGGTAAGGTAAGGTAAGGTAGCGAGCGGAGGGAGGGACCCCTTATTCCTCTCTGTGTTTGTGCACATCAGACCCTTGGGGCGGGGTTAGAGGCGTGTTCGGTACAAGTCTACGAGTGAGGAGCTGTCCACTGTAAAACTGTAATATTCTGTGAAGGCGTTTGTTCTTTTTGTTCTAGAGTCGAGGTTTATGTTTGTTCATAATTCATAGTATTCTTTGTGTAGGTTTGTCGTGATGAATTAACACTTTAATTTGCGTACAAACTTCATGTTAGAGTTATTAGCCAGGTGTCAGGAGAAACAGGAACATACAGGAGTGTATGCAGTATTCTATTTACCTTGATTAAACAAAATGTTTTGTTATGATTATGGTACAATTAATTATGATCATGATTCAAATTAAATAAATTAATAATAACTATATTATACTGGTCGTTATTAGTGGTTAAGTAAAAACAACGCCTCTGTCGGCGAATAGCGTGAACTAACATTAATGAAGCTCTCCTGACATTTGACTCGCATGCGTAGATGGCGCTGCAAGCATCAACAGCGTCAAGATGATAATTAAAATTAAATTGATATATACATATTTGAGTTAAGCTTTGTTAATGAACATTGATGGTGCATACATTTCTGTATCTTAGCACGTTTTAGTCAGCCACTTTTTTTTTTTTTTTTTTTAAGGGGCGAAAGTCATCGAATGACTGCTCCCGCCTGGGTGAGGCGGGAGGGAGTGTCAGACTCTTACTGACAAAAAACCACCCCGTTCCTTCTCCTGCACGTCGAGCCGGAGCCCCGGTTACCCGTTAGGTTCTCCGCGACGGACCGCCACTGACTACAATCCATGGCTTGTAGTAGGTGGTACTTGTGGTAAGAACCTTTGTTTCATTTCTTGTACAATTGTAATTATGGTTTATAGTCTTCGTAGGTGTGTATGTTGGTCTTAAAATAAACAGTAACGATAGTAAATCGATGTGCTTTCTTACATATTTTGGTAATAAGTAGTAACTCACTATTTTGTATTTATTCTTTGTTGCACTCATTTTAAACA